CCCCAAAACCCCAAAACCCCAAAACCCCAAAACCCCAAAACCCCAACGTTCAAAATTGGGATTGAATTATGAAGAGTTACTGTACTGACTAGCATCAGCACTCTCACTAGCACTTGCACTACCACTATTGCTTCGGCTAAAGCTCTCATCATTCTCATCGCTATAGGGTTCGCGGCTGCTCTTATAAGAGCCACTGTTAGGCTGATTTTCCTCAGTGTCGACTTCGTTTTCTTCCGATTCACCTTCATTTTCCTCGCTCTCTTGGGAGTTATCGGTTGATTCTCCCTCTGACTCGTATGTGTCTTGGTATTTAGCCTCAATATCACACCCATACCATTTAGAAAGGTATTGCCAGGTTTTGGAATCGACTAGGTAGTAGTCCTGACCTTCCGTCAGGTCGTCCTTGAGCTTCATGTTTGAATTGTTGTCAAAATACAGCAAGGAATGGTTGAAGATCTTTCCTGGCTTATATTTCAGCATCTCGAATGATATCAAATTCCTTTTAATACTCCTACTCGTCCTTGATCCGGATTTCTGTTGTTTCTGGCCAGATACTGAACTTGACCTCTGATGCATGGCTTTTCGAGTCTGGGAAAACTTCGGAGGAGTCTCGTCAAAGTGAATCATCTCAAAATCATCATCTGACAACTTCTGTGTCATTTTCCGGAAGGGTCTTGAGTTGAGAGTTTTAAGTTTGAGGTCATCGAGGGATTTGACATCCACCCCACTAGAGTTAAGCCTATTCGAGCTTACATGTACTTTCACCATCCTTGCCACCATTTGGAAGAGACGGCATACTGATCATCATCTTGCTTGGAATCGTGGGAGAATTCGTCAATGGAGTCTGTGGACTTTAGGATGAGCCTTTTCTCCTCGTCTGGGCTGAGATACTTACAGAATTTGGAGCATGGCTCTTTGCTCTCCCTCATTTCCATGAATGAATTAGAGACTGTGTTTGTTCTATTGTCGTAAACTCACTGGCAGTGGAAGGTATCCGGGTCACTATCAGATCTATATTATTCTAAGCTATTAAGGAAGTACGCTGAGCTGCCATCAAAATGGTTCTTGGTCCTCTGAGGTGGTCTAGCCTTCTCTTTAGGGGCTTCAATAGTGATACTTTTTGAGTTGAGTTTTCACAATTCGGTCTTCTTTTCAATTGGAGATCTTAGTTCACAGAATCCTTTCTCTTCTTCGATCTCTTCATCTTGGGACAAGACTACCTGGTTGGTGCCCATGGTCTCTCTTTGAGAAGGCATGGGCTTTACACTGGAATCTGTACGGGCACAAGGAAGTTTTTGTAGTTTCATTCCTGAGGGTATAGCGTCTTTGTTGCCAGATGCTATAATTTCTTTCTTCTTGAGAAGTTTCTCAATCTTTGCGATAGGCGGCTTTAGGGGACTCAAGTAAGCATCAGTGTCTATTTTTGGCTTTGGAGGAGACACTGCGATTGTTTTGGGTTGCTTCTTAGAACTAGTCTTTCTATTTGATGCTGGCAAAGCTTCTAGCTTTGGATCTGACGGTAGTTAACCCTCTTTTGATGCCAATTTGTGCTAAATGGAGTCGAATCTGGCTTATAAAATTTAGTAGAGATTTTTAAAGTGACAATTAGTATAACTCTTAGAAGATGAAGAGGAATTACCTTTATTGTTTATAATCGAGGAAGCTTGTTTGGGATTTTTCAAGGTTGTTCTACCTTCCAGCCTCAGTATTCTCCTTTCAATATCCTTGATTTGGGTTGTATACTCAGCCATTCATCCCTTGATGATGCTTCTGATCATTACTTCTGTCATTTTTCTGGACTTGATGGTAAGATTGCTCATATTTAATTTCAAAACTTTAAATTTGCTGAGGGGTTTTGGGGTTTTGGGGTTTTGGGGTTTTGGGGTTTTGGGG